ACACACACACACACACACACACACACACACACACACACACACACACACACACAAGGAAATAAAACTTTTGCATTTGCATCTGAACTTTTTTGGAGTTGTGTTAAATTGTTATTATTCAAGCTTTTGCAATTTGAGTTTGTCGCTGAGCATATTCCGAATACATTTTTTTGCTCTACCTAATTCTATGAGCTTTCATGCATTTGACTGCCCGAGAATAGAACTTAGTTGTCCAAATTATTAATCAAATTATAAATAAATATTAAAGTCTTTTTTTATTTTTTCCCCTTGTGTTAATATTCTAATTTACTTTTTAAATATTTATTCTAATGTTTAGAAGAATAAATAATAATACAAATTATTATATTAAAGTTAAAAAAAAAAAAAAAAAACAGAATACAAATTTTTAATTAAATTTCAAAATAAAGTAAAAATTATTATTTTAACAATGCGAGAAGCTAAGAGAATTTTGATATACCCAATAAATAAATATATCGTACCAAACAAAAAAAAAATATATATATATAATTTTGTACTTAATTTTCATGCATTTCTTATATATATTTATCCTTTGCATCAAAAGAGCTCCTTTAATATTTCAAACCACCAACCCCCTCTTAATATAATAACAGTTTTTTGAAAAACAGCTAAAAAACAAATACCCCATCTATGTCAATATCTTATAATACAATAAAGAACTTTATTAAAGATATATGCCTGGAAATATATATCAAAATTATCAGATAAAACAAGATGAAATTTCATTTAGTGCACATCCAACCCCTAAGTAGGCATTCGTAATGCCATTTCGCGGCAATTTTATTTTGCTTGCCGAACTATCCACACATTTTGCCAACTGACCCCAAAAACCGTAAGGCAGAGTTCAACAACCTTGCGCTATATCCCCAAAGGAAATGTGTCTGATGGAGCTGTTTTTGAGGGAGCTTATCGAAGATACACACAAGCACACTGACACACGCACACAGACTGGGAAAGGCAATAATCATAGGCATAAGATTTACTAATAACAATGATATAAGACATTTGCGCAAATGAGTATATAATAAAGCTAATGGAAAATTATGGAGCTAGCGGGCAAGTGGGTTTTCTCCAGGCCGTGGGGGCAGACATGTTGCCAAGAAGCTGGCGCCACTTTGTTACAAGTTATTTATATGATACTACAAAAATAGATACACCTATATTATATAAATGTATATATATAACGTTTTTAAAGGTAAGTGGTAAAAGATAGCTTATATTTTTATCAATATTGCAATTGATTCCCGAAATAATTGATAAAATTTACCTTTCGAAAATTTATGGGCTATCATTTGCAGTTAAATGCGAACTTTAAACGTTTATTGCCTGCACATATTGCAAGTAAACCTTTTTTGAGATTGGGGGCGGTACGCACACCTTAATGGCCTATTAAGGTGTTTTTTGGGCTCGTGTTTGGGCCTGCGATTTAAATGCAATTAAACGAAATGTGTTTTTTAATACTCTTTGGCTATCGGGGTACTTAAGAAATGGCATTCCCAGACTGTGCAAATGTCTGAGCAAACAGTAATATATTTCGAGATTATAAATAACATAAAACTCATTAGATACCTAGGTACCGATATGATGATTAATGGGGTAGTTAAGATATCATCCATAGAAGAGCGTTTATTATTTAAAATTAATGTGTAGTATTCATTTTTATTTAACATTTAAAGTTTACATTTCTTTACAGAGCATATCTTAGTCAATAACCTTTATATAATTGCCGGTAAATTTTGGTCTGCTTCCGAACAAATAATGCATTAAATAATGGTATATTTTCACACATATTTAACATGTTTAGTAGTTCCTCCGAACTTATCGAACTAGCTTTTTACCTATTGATATATTACATTAATCTTCGTTTGTAAATGTCTTTGTCGATGCCTGAACATAGTGTACAGGGTATTTAGCAATCGATTAACTAATTTGTGGAGACCTCAGCTAATTTGATATAGACTTCATGTTCTAATACAAAAATGTTAGATATATGGTTAGTTAAATATATTTTACAGGGTATCCAGCAGTTGTTAATCTTTATCCGTAAAAAATATAAAACAATTTCAGCTAATGCACAGGCATCTTTACTTATTAAAAGCTCTCTACAGGGTATTTAACAGTCGTTTACCTCCGCTTAGAGCACTTTAACGGTTTTTGGACACACTTTATGGGCACAGCAATGGCCCAAAAGGCCAAGCCGTTCTCTTCAATTAAAATAAATGAAAATGCGTACGGTCCCCACCCGCGCACACCCGATTACCAAAAACAAAAAATAGAAGGAGTACAGGGCAAGAAGAGCTTGTTGGCTCGTAAAAGCATTTAACACATTAAATGAGCGCCCGCTCATCGATGAATAGCCAGCCAGCCGGCATTTATTTATGAACAACAATAATAACTTTTCGAGCATTTAATTTGGCTGCAAAATGGCTAAATACAATGCGTCACGCCCAACTTTTTAGCGGTTTCAGTGACGCCCACACACACACACCCGCACACACACACATCCAGAGTGAGAAAATGTCAACCAAAAATTGTCAAATGCACAGCATTTTATGCGCCATACATTTATGTTGATGCGGTTGGAAAGTTTTTTAATTACATTTGCCGGCCCCTCCCCGCCGCCTCCACAAGCTCGACAAGCTCTCATAGCGCATAAATATATATGCATGGTTATATATATTTTATGGTTTATGATTGTGTGTGGAAAAACTCATTTAATTTCGTAACAATTTGAAAATGATAACAAAAAACTAATTTCTTATCAGCATGCAAATATTTTGTAGCTCGTATTCATGGAGGATAGCCGAATGGGCCGTATCATATACGGTCTTTAAAGCCAGCTCTATTTTGCTGATATTTGCATTAAATTTGATTTTGCCTAGGCAACCCTAACCCACTTTCTATCAAAACGCCTGTCAATCAAGCATCCTTCCAGCCATCCATCTCTGCAGAGCAAACTCTTTGCAAAACTTGGCTACTTATCATCTGTGGCGCACAAAAACAAAAACTAATTGCTGAAAGGCTGTAGATTATGTAAAGCCTAGCTGAATGACAGCAATGTATCCTATCTCTAACCCTGAATCATAAAAATGTTTAGACAACACACACACACACACATACACATAGTCAGGGAGCTCATCATTCATTTCGAGCAAGCAAACATGGCCAAATGAAGAAAGTGCCTGCTTAATGTTATCAGCCTTATGCGATCTAATGTGACCCAAATATATATGTGTATATAGTATATATTATGAGTGTGTGGGTGTGTGTGTGAGGCATAAGTAGCTGCTGACCAAGGCAAACAAATTTAAAGCAATCTCATTGAAGCTTTGCCAAGTAGGTCACATAATTAGCCTGGAAGCTGGCCAAGACACCAAGAGTAAACGGGTCTATACATTTGAGAGATGCGCGACGAAACATATAAATAAAATATAAAAGAATATATGTATGTATATAAATAAAGCTCTACAGAGAATATCAGAGAGCATTAATGCGGTTTATATTTAATAAATTAAGTATTTTACTCTAGCACATTTTGAGACAAAGATGAGATGTGAGCAGTCGGATGTATATAGGCTCGAATATACTTAGTCTGTTATTTAAAAAAGCATTACGCCCGGTTTAACCACTTGGCATTTTTTTGATAAAAAGGCTCGTAAATAAATGAAATTTCATATTAATGAAGTTTCATTATCTTGAGGAAATAATCATGAAACAACAAAACTATAGGAATTAACATAATTCTTGGAATTATATTGTTGACAAAATTAATTTTAAATAAGTGCATAAAAGCTTATTCCACTGCAAAATTAAAATCGAGAAATCAATGCAAAAATCATATAAAAGCGCAATGCAAAACAAAACCAGTTGACAGAAGGAATACAAAAGGCCAACGAAAACATTCTATATAGTCGATAAATATATATATCTGAATTATACATATATACAAATATATATATAGACTATACATAAAAAACCTATATTGAAAATGAAATTGCTAATAGTTTCAATGGGCTTTCTAACTGTAGTTGTGGCAGCCGATGTGAGTAAATGATTATTATTCTATATTAAAAAATAATGAATAAAATATATTAAAGTATATTGTAAGTTACATTATATACGTATTATATAAAATAATATTTAAATATATTATATGTCATATATTTAGTATATTATAATAAGTATAATAATATATATTACATATTCGTATAACCCGTTTTTCGTACCTCAGTTAACTGCTGAACAAAAGTCAACAATTCGCGCAAATGCCATGCAATGCACTCAGCAGGAGGGCAACACCAAGGAGCAGGCGATTGCACTGCGCAATGGAAACTTCGATGATGCCGACGATAAGGTCAAGTGCTATGCCAATTGCTTTTTGGAGAGGGCTGGCTTTATAGTCGAGGGTCAGATCAACGGAGATGCGGTGCTGCAGAAGCTGGCGCCCGCCGCCGGAGCGGATCAAGTCAAGGCCGCTCTGGCCACTTGTGCATCGATTAAGGGTGCCAATAAGTGTGACACCGGCTTTCAGATCTATCGATGCTTCTATAAGAATCGGGCTTGGGCCTAGATCTTAGCTAAGTAGTTTTGAATAAATATTTAAGTATATTGCTAAGCAACCTTTTCTATTGAAGCTAGGCTTCCGTATAAATTCTAGTTTCTCTATAAAACAGTTTTTATTCGTTCGACCTACCGGAAAATTCTCACAAATTTACAGAAAAATTCTCTCCATCTCCTTTTAATTTTTGGATATATAACTTTAGAACAGAACCCGAAAATAAAATTAAAAATCATCAAAATTTCCGCTAAAATGTCGTTAAACAGAAATTCCATACAAATTAAGCTGCTGAAAAGTTTGTTGAATTCCCGCAAAGCAATTGCCAGCCGGACCATATTTGACGTATCCAATTTGGGCGACTTTGAAAAGAAAGTACGACGTTCAAAGAGACCAGTTTTAGTGAATTTTTATGCCAGGTCAGTGCAATAACCGTAAACTAAGCAAGTTAGCTATATAGATCAAGTACTTCGAATCTCGTTTAGTTGGTGTACGCCCTGTAAAGCTCTCATGCCACGCCTCAAAAATATTATAAATGAGCAGAGAGGCCATATGGAGATGGCGCGCATCGATGTTGATGAGTTGACCGATCTGGCATTATCGTATGATGTGGTTACGGTGCCGTCGATACTGATTATGCACAATGGCCAGGAGCTAAATCGCCTAGAAGGGCTGCAGCCATCAGAACAGATAAGAAATTGGTTAGCGACGGTTATCAAAGAAAATGCGCCCGATTGCATATTTGTAAAAAAGTGATTTGTTTTTTATGTTAACGCATTCCCAGACTATAACTATGAATAAACACGTTTTTAATTAATTTTTTAGGACTTTAACCAGCACCGTCTATTGTCTGCCGTGTGCCGTCTGCCGTCCGCCGTTTGCTGTCTGGTGATTTACCAGTGCAAATATCGGTGCCTGCAATTCAAAATGCAAACATACTCTCGGCTCTACTCTGTTCGCCTGTTTCTCAAACAGTTTGTGAATCAGCGCCAGAGTTCGGTGAGCCAACAACAAATACAATGGGTAGCAGCTCGTGTATGCTCAATTGTTTGCTTATTTGCTAGCCAAAAACAACAAAGATACTGTGCAACTTCTCTCTCTCTCTCTCTCTCTCTCTCTTATTGTCTGTATCTATATATCCATCTACAATTCTGTCCATCCATCTCTATTTGCTTTTGCTGGTTATGTCCTGAGCTTAGGGGACTACACTCTAATTGATTTTGGTAATGTTGCTTTTTAATGAAGTGTCAAATGCGTGTTACTTGGTTTGGGTTTGTGTTTCGGTTCGGAGCATAGCTTCAAGATGCATGTCATGCTACAGAACAATGGCTGATGAAGTATTAAGTCCTTGTACTCCCCAATGACTCCAATGAAACTACACTGAAAACTGTTTGTGGCAAATGACACGGACTTAAATTAAATTGAATATATAGCTAGTATATATTTCTATAATACACAAATAATCAATTTTAGCTAGTATATAACATATAAGTATGCATATTTGCATATTCATATATATATATAAATAGCATTTAGCTATATATATTTATATTATTAGTACAAAACAAACCTGAGTAAACTATGTTGTATATAGCAAACAAACGAACCTTGTTTATTAAATTTTTTCGCTTTTATTTATTTAACACAACAAAAAAACAATAAAAAAGCAAAATAAATTAAAAATAATCTTATCTCATTAAAGCAGAAAGAGAGATAATTATAAGTTATAAATAAAATATGGTCAATAAAATTTGTATGCCTTGAAATATATTCCATTGCACAGTCGTTTCGTGTAGCGCTCTGAGCTGCGTCTCTTCACATCGGCCCATTAGCTCAGCTGGTTAGAGCGTCGTGCTAATAACGCGAAGGTCGCGGGTTCGATCCCCCCATGGGCCATGATCAGATTTTTTTTGTATTTATTTTTAAATTTTTTAAACATTGATGTGAATATCTAAAATTATTTTTTTTTTTTACTTTTCATTTTTTAATTTAATTTAAAATACAAAATAATTATATTTTTATTTCTTTCTACAATATTAATTTTTAAAAATTAATGTATATGTAAGCAAAATGAAAAAGAAAAGTAATTGATATATAATAAAAAATACCTTAAGAGTATTTTACATTTTATGGCTATAAACAAATAAATATTCAATTTATATATTAAACCAATGACATTTTGAAAACATAATTTAGCACTTCCGTTAAAGGTAACCAGCATATAGGTTTATTAAACAAAGTCTGTAGCCTCTGTCCTTGCTTTTGAAAATAATTGCCTGACCACCGGCAGACAACAGTCTAGCATAGAACCCGCATTCATAATATGACAGACTAATCCTTAACCCTTTTACCAAACACACGCACAGCCTGCCAAAATACATTACCATAACCATTCTGTTAGCTGATTGAAAAAAGGGGGAGACCATGAGGATGATGACGACGACGACGACAACGACGACGACACTTATGACCATGAACAAAATTGAAATTATAAAGCAGAAATGTGGAACAATTGACAAAATTGCAAAGAAGCGGAGTTACTTTTGTGCGTGTGTTTGCATGGAAGAGAAACTGTTTGTGCCGGGCCCACAAAATAGATGTGCCGCAATGTAATTGAGTATTTGTATTCAATTAAGACTTATTTCAATATTTGCATACGTCGAATGCAACAGCCCAGACAATCAACACAGACAACAACAGCTCTGCCTCCGGTGAGCAGGAAGCAGTGTTGTTGCGCCAGTGCTGTGAGTGTTCGTCAGTGTTGTCCAGTGTTTGTTAACAGTTGCCTGACCAATGTAAATCCCCTCCATATGCTCGAACATAATTTGCTGAAACGAAACTTGAACAAACAGGCGGGCACTGGACAGCAGCAGCAGGAGCAGCAACAGTAGCAGCAGCAGCAGCAGGAGGAGTAGTAGTAGTAGTAGCAGTAGCAGCTGCAATAGAGTCCAAATCTCTGGATTTTGCAGGGGGACTTTAACGCCACAAGGGATTTTAGGAAAGGGCAACGAGGGCGATTGTACATCATGTGTGCAAACTGTCTGAATTTGACAGCCCGCATAAAGCGCTGGGCAGACAACGCCGCTGCCACTGCCAGTGCCACTGCCGCCACCTAGGTAAACATGTAAAGGAGTTAAGCAGATAGACGCAGGAGGATAGAGCAGGAGTCATAAATGCAATGACTGGACCTTTCACTGACTGTGTGCGAGTGTGCACGTCACACAAAATGCAACAAATATTAATTTTTATTATGCAAACATTGCTTTAATTACATTATTTTTGCGTTTGGTCCAGCAGACAAACCAACTTGACATGTAGCCACGTGTGTGTGTGTGAGTGTGCTGGTGTGTGTATGTGTGTGGTTAACTACCTCCAACCACAAGCAACGCTCTGTTCCTAGCTGATTCCCTCTCTCTCTCTCTCTCTCTCTTTTACCCTCTCTCTCTCTCTCTCTGTCTCTGTCTCTCTTTGTATGATCAATCACTGGAAAATTGGATTTTCATATGGGCCCGAGTCCCTGTCTGTTCGTGTGTGTGTGTGTATGTGTGTGTGGCGTTTATGCAATTTCCCCTGGCCGTGGCCATAGCCTTGTGGCTGCAAAAATCAATCGGTTGCCAATGTTGAAACAAACACGCGCTTACAGCCTCCGCCTCCGCCTCCACCATCGCCACTGCCACGCCCACCCACATCTGCACCTGACCGCTTGACAAGCACAAACACAAACTTAATCAGCAGCCATGAATTGGTCAATAATTTTTAAATACAAATCAAGTGTTAACTGCGCCGCTTTATGCCCCAGCATCACATCAAAAGCCAATTTGCAGCGTTTGTGGGCGAGGGCAACGGAGAGGATGGGGACGAGGACGAACGATGGATCGAAGGAGAGAAGAGCTGCTGTAAAGCTGTTTGCGCAACGATTTAAAATTTCATCGAAAAATGATGTATGAGGCCAGGCACTTGACGACGGGCTTATGAGTCTTCGCATTGAATTTGAATTGATTGCACATTGATTACCAGGAGGCCGGCGCTTGTTACAAATATCCGATGGCAGATATAGCGTGATGTATTAAGATTAAGGCTAAAAAGTTGAGGAAGTGAGTGGAAGTGCGTTATTGAATTTATGTATTATTATATATATATTTATATAAAATGCGAATATGAAAAGCTGAAGAAGTAAGCTGAAATATTTATATAATTATTTATATTTTATTTAATTTGAAAGTAAAGCAAATTACATTTTCATCAAACATTTGAAAAAGAATTAATACTTCCAGTAGAAAACTGTTAGATATACTATTTTATTGCAAAATATTGGGATGGAAGAGAAATTTAATTAGAAACATATGAAACTTGGTGAATATTTTAATTTTAATTTAATATAAATCAAGATTTACCAAATATATAATATTTAATAATAACTAACTAAATAAATAAATTTGATAATTGAATGCTTAAAAATTTAATGTGAATTTATAAAGCGAATTTTCGATCGCTGGATCTCATTTAACCAGATAGATGATTCCAAATATATATTTCCAATAATATTGCGGGCACTCTGCGATGTTATCTCTTTAACACGTCTCTGCTTTATAGCCATATTGACTGTCATTCATTTGTCTTCTAGCAAAACTTTGAATCTCTAAAACCGCAAATTTCTCGTAATGCAGCACACATATACAGATGCGCAGCTACACTCAACCCATACACACACATCGTGGGATTTTGACACTCAAACAGATAGATGTATTCAGCCGGAACCCTTTTTGCCGGCTCAAACCATTTGGCAATCAATATAAACAGACACGGAGCTCTACATATGGAGATATTGTAGAGTTGTTTTTTTTTTCGTTCCCCGGGCTTTTTTTCTTTTTGGCTGCTGGGCAGGCAGATCCTTCGCATCGTCCGGCTTTGGCCATGGAAAATTCTGCTGCCTGGCGGAAATTCGATTTATTTTCATCAATATTCAATGTCAATGCAACATCTTGGTGGCCGAAACCAGAAACGTACATCAGGCATGTCG